TTGAAAGGATAGACCACAGCTCCGGAGAACACTTCTGCAAGACTATAACAGGTATGTTGTCCGGGCCGCAAGCTGTAGAAAGTCTAAGCGGGAAATCACTTTAGATACAGAAGCTGGAGTGATACGAATGTCGAGCAACGGATCAACCTGTTTGACGGGTATATCAGGTAAAACGCAACTAGTGGCATCAAGAGATGATATTGATGAAAAGTTCTTGGTAAACAATTTAGCTTTGTCTTTAGGTGAGGTGACAAAGTCTGAACCGTACAAAAGAGGTGGAATTACAGACTTGCTCTTATTATCGATACTATTAAAGATTCTCCAGAATCACAGAAGTCACAGAAGCCTAATTTTTGTGATGAAATACGAGATTTCATGATCTGAGAATAGTGGGCTTTAGCGTTAGACAAAACCTTTTTACAATGGTTCCTAGCAGTAATAAACAGACTTCTGTTTTCTGGAGAATTCAATCGTTATCTTGCTCTACAGATTTAGTCTTTTCTCTTCCAGTAACTTCCAACTCTTATAGTGGTTGCTTGCAGCCTTGTTGGAAGTGAAGATGTTAAAAAAAAAAAAAAAAAAAAAAAAAAAAAAAAAAAAAATTGTTTTGCTGATAGATATGGAAGTAATGGTTTGGATTAGCAATTGCAGTAGCACAATGTGAGGAAAACCATGGAGAAGAGTGAGTCTTGACCTGGAATTGTCGAGAAGAAATAAAGGATTCCATGCAAGCCTGAATCCACGAAGTTATGTAAGAAGCACATTTGTCAACAGGGAGACGAAAGATTTCTACCCAGGGGCCATCACGAAGAAAGTCATGAAAAGAGTTCCAGTCAGCTTTAAGGTAGTTGTAAGATGTACGATGATAGGGGGATTTTAATGGTAAAGAAGAATGAGATAATAGTTTTAGAGAGACCAAACCATGATCAGAAGCACCTAAGGGTGAGTGTGGAGAAACTGAGCACTGACTAGGATTAGAAACAAGACATTAGTTGAGTAGAGAAGGTAAATGATTCGGGTTGTCTGGAAAGCGAGTTGGAAAGTTGACTATTTGAGTTAGGGATTGAGAAAGGCAAAAGTTGTGGGCCTTGATGCCTGCAGAGTGACTGACACTAGAGCCGAGCCATTCAGTGTGATGAACATTAAAGTCACCGACAACAACAATATTGGCTGATGGATAACGAATGAGGGCTTGGTCAATATATTCAGAAATAACATCAAGAAGAGTGCAGTCTTGAGATGAGGGAGAGGTGATAGAGTGAAGTGGTGCTAAACGAAAGCACATAAAAGAGTAGTCTGTGGATTCAAACCTAGTTTCCAGACAAATGGGTTCATTCTTACGAATGTAAATGCCTAGGCCAAACATGTGACTATTGGAGTCTTTACGAATTAAAGGAAGATAACCATCAACACTAAGATCACAAGATGAGACAGCTGAACTCAAATTAGTCTCACAATGAGCAAGCAGGTCTGGTGAACTTTGCAAGAGATAAGACTTAACAGTAGAAAAGTTACTTCGAAGACCACGAATATTGGTGAATGATAGGTTTAGCGAACTTGGTGATGACTGTGGTTTTTTTATGTTTTATAGTTTTTGTTACTTTATTCATTTTTAAATTTGTTAAGTTTTATTTCTAAACTTTTCTTCTGGTATTATCCATAGCTGTCAACACCATGCTAGGGGCCCTCGGTGTTGATGGCCCCCTAACTTTTTTTTTAGGATAACTTTTTTTTTTCGTAACTTGTAAGATTTTTTTTTATATTGGGGAGTGAGCCTCTTTGAAAGAGTAAATTTCTAAACAAAAATTACATTGCCACGTTGCACTGTTATTGGTTGCTCTGGCAATAACAAATCAGGCTCTTATATATCGCTTCATAGATTACTCTTAGATCCAATAATTGCAGCTTTATGGAAGGGGGTGGGCATTTTAAACTCTATCTTTTGGTCCCTTTACTTTAAAGATTTTTTTAATTTTCTTTTTACTCTAACTTTGTATGATAACAGTAATAATCAAAACTAGAAACTCATAAAATGAAAAAAAACTGTGTATGATCATACTTATGTCATATCAGGATGTTTTCCGAAAAATTGCGATAATGGGAACAAAAATGGCTATAAAAGTAGACATTGCCCTCCTAAATGTGGGCAATCAGTTTTAAATATCCTAGAATATCTAAAATATATATTATATATTCTATTGCGCATAAAGTGTTTTTAGAATTTGTGGCTATGAAAATAGCCGTTTTATTACTTAGATTTTGGCACTTTCAAATCCATCAGTATATTTCCAGGCATCTACCATTCAGATATATCTAAGGGACCTTCGCCATCACCTTCGAAATTTGTGTAAATTCCATTAACATCTGGAAACCTGGATCTTATTGCTGAAACAACACATGCTGGTAGAACCTTTTGATTATACCTTCAAAGTTTACAGTATGTTAACCATTTAAACTGACGATAAATGGCATATCTGAATGTTCTTTAAAAGAAACAGAGAAATACAAATATTTTTCAAAAAACAAAGTTGTATAAATAAAATCAAGTTTAACGTAAGACAACCAAATTGTAAATATAAAAAAAACTTGTTTGAGGTTTCTTCGAATGAATCTGACATCCACATTCCTTCTCTGTCATTCAGACTGGCCATTCCCAGTGGGCACCGGACCTAAAAAAGACATCTTTTGAACGTTCAAAAGATGTCCAAAACATTCAAAAGACGTTCAAAAGATGTCCAAAACGTGTATAAGACGTTTAAAAGACGTCTTTTTTACGTCCGTGTCCACTGGGTTGATATCCATAATGGATATGGCTCAATGCAGCCTATCACAAAACTTCTGTGTTCTGTTATACACTTTTGGTCTTAAATAAAATAAAAATTGTTTTTAAATTTACATAGCCACTAAGTGACAGTTTGTTATAACTTTTTATTTTAGTTCTGCTAAAAATAATACATTAATTTATATTTTAAAATAGTATTATAGTTATTTTATAATACCTGTGGCAATATTTATTGCATTTATTTCAAAATAGCAAATACATTCTTTTTCAAATAGCATTGTTTTACAGTATCCACATTTACACTATTGTTCAACAACTACACTCAAACGATTTAATTTCAGCGCCATGAAGTTCAAATTTACATAGCTGATACTATCGCCAACTATTTCGTATTTTGGATCTCTACTGGTTTTCTTCATCTTTTTTTAAAAGATTCAAATGAGTATGGAGTTGCCGACATTTTAACCGTTTAGTTATCAACGTGCAAATGAAAATTTTAACACGGTTACTCTTTTATTCATTTCCTAATTAATAAAATTTAATTAATATAATTATAAATATCTTCTAATACAAAAAATTTAACAATTCATCAAATAAGGATATTTGATATACAGTCGTTTATCGAAATTAATTATTGATTATAAGCAAATACGGAGTAATGAAAGAAAAGTTGAGTTGTATAGATAAAATTAAAAAAAAGATCCCTCTGTGTTTAAATAAACAACGAAATTCAGAATTTATTGTAAGGTGACCAAGGTCATCATTTTATATAGAAGAGTGCCATAAAAATATATGAAAATTATCTAAATAAAAAAGTTATCTTTTTACTTTTTTCTAAATTGTATTTTTCCGTATAATAAATATTACACACATAAATTTAAAACTAAGTTAATGAACGGACAAGAAGATTTTTTGTCTTATTGCCGATCATCATTTTACAGAATATAGTATATAATCACTGACGTAGGAACAAATGGCAAAAGCCCCCCCACCTTTTCCTAATTTCTGAAGAGTCCTGTTTTTTCCATTTAAATTATGATTCTGTCTGCATTTTATTTTTGTTTAAGCCCCTCCCCCAACTTTTTGGACCTTCCATAACCATTAT